GGCCTGGATCCTGTCCCAAAGAGACACAGTCACCCCCCAACAGGGTCTCGCAGCTGGTGTCCTGGGGCACCCCAACAACCAGCCAGCCCCACCCTCCTGGGTCTGCACAGGGATCTGGGCCATAGGCAGGGGGAGGGGCTTCGTCCCTGGGACCCTCACCCAGCTCACCCAGCCCCTCAGCCTCTGAGGCTGCACCACCCGGGGCCTGACACCAGTTCTCTCTGTCGCAGGATCTCGCCACCCCAGGAATGTCTCCCCATTGACCATCCCCTTCCGCTCCCACTGGGGTCCGAGGGGCCTGGCCCCAGGAAACTCCACACAGACATACAGGTTGGGGTCAGGAGTGGGAGCCTGTCCACATCCCCACCCATCTGGCTGATGGAGTCTAAGGCCTTGGGACCCAGCAAGGGAGCTAGACACCGGGGCTTTTCCGCAGGGTCCCCTTGGTTCAAATCGCCAGCCTGCTCAAAGGCAGTGAGGTGGGCATCCACATCCCCCCACTCCTTAACCAGGGGCAGCAATCTAGTCTCGAGGTTCCCTGCGGAACTGGCCCCCCGGGGTCTATCCCCACTCACCCCGGGGAGGTCCCCTAGGCCTCTCCACCCCACCACCGCCAGTTCATCCTGCTGCTGCTTCTGCAGCTCTTTCTCGGGCTCTCGCTGTCTCCCACGGTCCTCTTGCTCTCTCGGACTCCGCTCCAATCCCGTCCGTCTCGATCCCCCGATGGGGAACCCGATCGTGAAGACCCCCGTCTGGTCGGGGACAGGAGTCTTGGCGATGCCTGGCTCCCGCTCCAGCTGCTCCCAGATCCTGCTATAGCCCCAGTTGGGGTCAGGAATCTGTTCCTTAGAGCGGTCATCCTCCTCCAGCTGCACAATTAACTCTGCTTTGGTGAACTTTCCAACGCTCAACCCTCTCTTTCTGCACAGGGTTACAATGTCCTTCTTAAGGAGACGGTGACAGGCCATCACTCCGCTCCTCCCAAGTTGTTGTGGACTCACAGGCCCGTGTGCTCTCAGCTCCCCACGGTTTCCAGGGAGAACCCCTAGTGTGCCAGCCCTTCTCGAGGTCACCCCCTCTTTGCCAGGGTCGAGCTGCAGACTCCTCCCCTCCGCCCCTGGGACCGCTCGCTGCAATCCCCCGGGGGACCCTGTTACTGCAAAAGTCCTTCTCTCTGGTCACACACTCCCAGGGGTTAACCTCCCCCTGAAACCGTCTCTCTTTGAATCTTCAGCAGGCCTGGTCCCCATCAATCCCCCTTCGTTTTACTGCTCCCCAGTCACTTACTGCAGGAAGCACTGTCCATGGGGTGCAGTACATCCCACCTCTGCCACCAGTTGTCCCGGGGTCCCCGGGCGATGCTCTGGAACTGCTCCCTACGAAGCCAGGCAGGACTCTGGGGGAGTCTCCTCTCTGGGAGCAGCCTGTCTTCAGGACACACAGCTCCCCCGGCTCCACCTTCCTGGGTCTGACCTCGGAGCATTCAGCATCCTCTGCCCCTCCGTGCGCTTCCCCCAGCGAGTCCGCCCAGGCGGGGTCCTGGGGAAGCCAGTGGGTCCTGCCCCCCAACTCCGCAGTCAGACAGGATTCTCAGCCAGCCAGTAAAACAGAGGTTTATTAGACGACAGGAACATGGTCTAACACAGAGCTTGTAGGTGCAGAGAACGGGACCCCTCAGCTGGGTCCATTTTGGGGGGCAGTGAGCCAGACAACCCCGTCTGCCCTTCACTCCATGTCCCAGCCAGCCCCAAACTGAAACTCCCTCCAGCCCCTCCTCCTCTGGGCTTTGTTCCTTTCCCGGGCCAGGTGGTCACCTGATTCCTTTGTTCTCCAACCCTTCAGCTCTCACCTTGCAGGGGGGGGAAGGGCCCAGGCCATCAGTGGCCAGGAAACAGGGTGTCGGCCATTCTCTGTGTCCAGACCCCTGCACACACCTGCCCTCTAGGGCTCTGCAATGATCATACACCCTTATCCGACCACCTAGAAACTTAAGAACTGCCTAGGGGAAACTGAGGCACCCCCACACTATTCAGAGGAAACATTAAGAACAGTCCCACTTCGTCACACCCTCCGGGTGCCAACATGATGTGGGACCCAGGCATCCTGCACCCCTAATCTCCCTCCCCCAACACGCACACACTTTTGGGGCAGGGTTAGCTTTTTTTGGCTGGAAACCGCGTTACACACCCCGAGGCTCCATACGGCGACACAGCCAGGCTGAGCAGGACGCAGTGCCGAGCCTCATACACTTTGGACAGACAATATCAAGGTTTATTTGGATCTATTTCCTTCTTCACCGCTGCCTGGTGGCCACACGGGGGGCCAAACACTGATTCCCTGGTTCAAAGCATTAGCGCTTTACAGCCATTAAACCCCAAATGGTCATAGTCCCGTGTCAAAATCTACAAAGGCGACTCCCTTAAAGCCAACTCAGAGGCGTTTGGGTCTCTGCACCCAGCCGCCCATTTCAAAGACCGATGGCGACGTTTTTTGCCTGGGTTTGTGTGAGTGCAGAGACACTGGGGGACCAGCGACCACGTGTGAACGATTGGGACAGGGTGGGGGGACAGGGTCCTATATAAGCCAAAGCCCCGAACTCTGGGGGGGAGCGGATATAATTGGGACATCTGGTCACCCTAGATATTTTTATATATAAGCAAATATGACTGTATTTCCCCACTAGGGGGCGCCAGCTCTGATCTGGCCCCAGGGCGCGGTGAGACTGGCTGGCTGTGGGGGGCGGGGGAATGGGGAGCGGCCTTTCCCCTCTAGGGGACGCCGGCTCCCATCCAGCTGCAGGGAGCAGGCAAGGGCTCAGTAGGGGGCACCGTGGGGCAGGGACCTGGGGCCGGATCAGCTGGATCCCCCAACCTCCCCCCTTGCCGGGGGTCCCAGGCCCCCCAAATATTAACCCCCCTCCCACCGACATTTGTGTCCCAGCAGAGTCGGTGTCAATAAATCAGCAGCAATTTGGAACCAGCACAAATCCTCTCTTCCTTGTGTCTTTGGGACACTCGCCCCCCAGCCACCCCAGCACCCATAATGGGGGAAAAGCCTTCTGACATGGGGGATACACCCCACACCATCTCCTCTCCCACCATATGGGATACAACAACCCCCCACCTCCACACAAACCCACACTTCTGTGTGAGATGCACCAGGGTGAAGGACCCCGCTCCCCTCCCAGAGCTGGGGAGAGAACCCAGGACTCCTGGGTCCCCCACCACCACCATCCAGCTGCTCCCAGCACAGAATAACCCCAGCTCCTTAAATCAGCTTCCTTGTGCGTCCATGTCTCTGCTAGGGACTGGGGCCCATCAGAGGTGGAGAAAGGTCTTAATATTGCTGCTAAATCCGGAGTCACCCCTGACTGCAATGGGGTCAGGGCCGGGCTCTGATCTCAGCTCCCTCAGGGTCAATCCGGAGTCACTCCTGACAGCAGTGGGGTCAGGGCCGGGTTCTGATCTCAGCTCCCCCAGGGTCAATCCGGAGTCACACCCTGTTACTCCAGCCTTGCCAGAACCCTGAAGGTCAATAAAAGACCCCGGCATTTCACAGGCTCACGGCGTGGTCGGGCTGAAGGGGCCTCGGGAATCTCCCCGAAGACGTGTTGCTTCAGCCCTCCCGGGGTTTGCCCCAACGCTCATGGACTTTCACTGGGAGGTCAGAAGTTTTTCTGCCCCATTTCAGGATTTTTAACCCCCCCCCAAAATCCCCGGGTTTCTCAGCACCCAGCCTGGCAACTGTTCTCCTCCTGGGCCTTGTCCCCCAGCAGCTCCTGGGCAGCGCCCCCACGCTTTGCCCGCAAGCAACAGAGATCGTGTTTGTCCGGAGCTGTGTCTTGAGCCAACTTTCCTCCTTGTTGCTCAGCACTCGGCAGGGCGGGGCAGGGCCCGAGGCCGACCCAGCCTTCAACCTCCCTCCTCCCGGCGAAGGACAGCGGGGTCTGGCGCGTTAGCCCAGGGGTGGGACCCGGGGTCGAGGCGGGTTCGTTTGGGCTGCCTAGGGAGACGTCTCCCTTTGTCTGGGGAGCCCCCGGGCGTGGGTTTTGGCTGGGTTGCAGAGACAGGCCAGGGAAGTTGCCCGGTTTGGGCGAAGGGAAAATCCCCGGCGTGTGTGCCGGGAATGGGGCCCTGCCGCAGGACCAGGCTCCGGGCAGCCGAACGAGGGTGGGAGCCGGCTGCCTGCCGGATGGGCGGGAAGAGTCACCCACCCGGCTCCCAGAGCCAGCAGCCGCTGGGCAGCTCCGAGCAGTTCCCCGGGGCGGCTCCTGGCTCGTTCGCGCCCCTCGCCCGGGTCTAACGGGTCTTCGTGTGATACTAACCCCGTCCCCATCCCAGACGAAACGGTGTTCAACCAGATTCGGGCTTCGGTACCCAGAGTTCCCACCTGCTCAGCCCCACGGCAAGGCCCCGCGCAGCAGCCTTGGGCCGGGATCCAGCCGGGGGAGGTGGTGGGATCACCTGGGTCCCTCTCTGTGGCCCCCTCTCGTCAGATCAGGTGACCCCTCCTTCTTTTGTCCCCCAGCTAGGCCCGGTGCCCAGCTCGGCAATTTGGGGTCGTGAGAAAAGACCCATGCCTGACAGAATAAACAGCCCACAACGACGGGCTGAGAATCCAAGACATCGGAGAGCAGCGTTTCATGCTTTAGGGTTTTAATTAGCACCTCGCTAGCACAAACAGGCTGCAATTAATCAGCAACTAATTATGGAAAAACATTGTATCGCAGTGCCCTAAGGGGAGGGGACAAGGAGGTAAACACACCGTGATAGGGGTTACCTGTGGAACTTCCTGCCACTTGATTTTGCTGCTTGTTAATTTCATGAGATCATATAACCCTCTCTCCCCTCGCTGCCCCCCAAACCCACTGACCCTCCCCCAATCCCTCTCTCCCCTCGCTGCCCCCCAAACCCACCGACCCTCCCCCCAATCCCTCACCCCCCTCGCTGCCCCCCAAACCCACCGACCCTCCCCCCAATCCCTCACCCCCCTCACTGCTAACTCATCAACTGCTACTTCTAGTAAGGAATTGGCTTCATGATCTCTGGACTGCAAGCTAAGAAGGGTAAATGGAGAAAAGCTGCCCTTAGCCTGGGGAACTCCCTGCCACTGGGATCCCGCCGGGGCGTTCTCACTCTTGCTTCCTCGGTTCGGCCCAGTGCATGGCGATGCCCGTGAGGGACCCCCCGCTGTAGTGCCCGGTGAGGAAGGCCAGGTACTCGGTGCAGGACAGAGGGATGGCGTTGAAGGAGTTGCCATACGGCTGGCCGAAGAAGAAGATGCGCCCCTTGTTGGTGGAGACGATGAGCTGGTAGATGTAGGTGTACTGTTTGCCCGAGACCTGCGTGATCCGCTCATCGGGGAGCAGGGTCACCTCGAGCTGCGCCTGGGTCTTGGCCCCGTACATCTCGCCCCACCTCGCCCCGAACTGGAGCTGGATGCTGGGGGGCAGGGGAGAGGGGTGAGAGCAGCCCCCCAAGATCTGGGTAGAGCCCCCCAAAGCCACCAACCCTCCCCCCAATCCCTCTCTCCCCTCGCTGCCCCCCAAACCCGCCGACCTTCCCCCAATCCCTCTCTCCCCTCGCTGCCCCCCCAAACCACCGACCCTCCCCCATCCCTCTCTCCCCTCGCTGCCCCCCAAACCCACCGACCCTCCCCCCAATCCCTCTCTCCCCTCGCTGCCCCCCAAGCCTGCCGACCCTCCCCCCAATCCCTCTCTCCCCTCGCTGCCCCCCAAGCCCGCCGACCCTCCTCCCAATCCCTCTCTCCCCTCGCTGCCCCACAAACCTACCAACCCTCCCCCCAATCCCTCTCTCCCCTCCCTGCCCCCCCAAACCACCGACCCTCCCCCATCCCTCTCTCCCCTCGCTGCCCCCCAAAACCACCGACCCTCCCCCATCCCTCTCTCCCCTCGCTGCCCCCCAAGCCCACCGACCCTCCCCCCAATCCCTCTCTCCCCTCCCTGCCCCCCAAACCTACCAACCCTCCCCCCAATCCCTCTCTCCCCTCGCTGCCCCACAAACCCGCCAACCCTCCCCCCAATCCCTCTCTCTCCTCGCTGCCCCCCAAAACCACCGACCCTCCCCCATCCCTCTCTCCCCTCGCTGCCCCCCCAAACCCACCGACCCTCCCCCAAATCCCTTTCTCCCCTCGCTGCCCCCCAAAACCACCAACCCTCCCCCAATCCCTCTCTCCCCTCGCTGCCCCCGAAACCCTCCGACCCTCCCCCCAATCCCTCTCTCCCCTCGCTGCCCCCCAAAACCACTGACCCTCCCCCAAATCCCTTTCTCCCCTCGCTGCCCCCCAAAACCACCAACCCTCCCCCAATCCCTCTCTCCCCTTGCTGCCCCCAAAACCACTGACCCTCCCCAATCCCTCTCTCCCCTCCCTGCCCCCCAAACCTACCAACCCTCCCCCCAATCCCTCTCTCCCCTCCCTGCCCCCCAAACCTACCAACCCTCCCCCCAATCCCTCTCTCCCCTCCCTGCCCCCCAAACCTACCAACCCTCCCCCCAATCCCTCTCTCCCCTCGCTGCCCCCCAAACCCGCCGACCCTCCCCCCATCTCGCCCCCGCCACGCACCCACTGATGTAGCTGTTACAATGCTCCCAGATCCGTAAAGCCGTGATGGGGCCCCATCGGTCCGGCCCTGAGTAGGAAAACGGGGTCCCTGAGGCCGAGCCGAACTCCCCGGAATATGAGTGTCGGCGATGGCCTGGAACGAGGGAGCCTGAGAAACAGAGTGAAACTGGATCAGAGCCAGATTCATACACTGAATCGGGAGGGGCTGCGGGTCGGGAGTGAGGGGCACCGGCAGAGCTGGGGGGCAGGGCTGGGCTAGCAGGGGGCTGCGGGTCGGGAGTGAGGGGCACCGGCAGAGCTGCATGGGGGCAGGGCTGGGCTAGCAGGGGCTGCGGGTCGGGAGTGAGGGGCACCGGCAGAGCTGGGTGGGGGGCAAGGCTGGGCTAGCAGGGGGCTGTGGGTCGGGAGTGAGGGGCACCGGCAGAGATGGGGGGCAGGGGCGGGCGGGGGAGTGGGGGCACCGGGGGCAGGGAGGGGCTGCAGGTCGGGAGTGAGGGGCCGCAGAGCTGGGGGGGAGCGGGTCGGGGGAGAGCTGCGTGGGGGGCAGGGCTGGGCTAGCAGGGGGCTGCGGGTCGGGAGTGGGGGGCACCGGCAGAGCTGGGGGCGTGGGGGCAGGGGCTGGGGTCTGAGGGGCAGCAGGGCTGCGGGGGGGGGAGAGGGGCTCGGGTCAGGAGTGAGGGGCACTGGCAGAGCTGGGGGGGGGCAGGGCTGGGCTGGAGGGGCAGCGGGTGGGGGCTGGGCTGGGTCAGGGGCTCGGGTCGGAGGGGGGGCACCGGCAGAGCTGCGTGGGGGCAGGGCTGGGCTAGCAGGGGCTGCGGGTCGGGAGTGAGGGGCACCAGCAGAGCTGGGGGGGGGCAGGGCTGGGCTAGCAGGGGCTGCGGGTCGGGAGTGAGGGGCACCGGCAGAGCTGCGTGGGGGCAGGGCTGGGCTAGCAGGGGCTGCGGGTCGGGAGTGAGGGGCACCAGCAGAGCTGGGGGGGGCAGGGCTGGGCTAGCAGGGGCTGCGGGTCAGGAGTGAGGGGCACCGGCAGAGCTGGGGGGGCAGGGCTGGGCTGGCCGGGGACTGCGGGTCGGGAGCGAGGGGCACCGGCAGCGTGGGGGGCTGGTTCTACTTACGTCCCTGTTCCCCGGCAGACTGAGCCAGGAGCAGGAGGGTCACACCGAGGATTTGCAGGAGCAGCATCCTGTGTGGGAGCCGGCGAGAGGCTGAGCGCCACGCATCTCACCCCCGCCCTGGCGTCTGCAGCCCTCCCAGGGGTGCCCCAGGCGGTGTCCCCCCCACCCCCCGGGGTGGGCGCAGGTGGATGCCCGAGGCTGAGAAGGGGCCCGTTACCTGGTGCCAGCTCCCGGCTGAGGCCAAAGCCAGGCGGGCAGCTGGGAACCGGGCAGGGAAAGTCCGGGCGGCTCCGGGACAGGGGCCGGGAAACAGGCAGGGAAAGGCCGGGCGCCTCCGGGACAGGGGCCGGGAAACAGGCAGGGAAAGGCCGGGCGCCTCCGGGACAGGGGCCGGGAACCGGGCAGGGAAAGACCGGGTGGCTCCGGGACAGGGGCCGGGAACCGGGCAGGGAAAGGCCGGGCGACTCCGGGACAGGGGCCGGGAACCAGGCAAGGAAAGGCCGGGCGGCTCCGGGACAGGGGCCGGGAACCAGGCAAGGAAAGGCCGGGTGCCTCCGGGACAGGGGCCGGGAACTGGGCAGGGAAAGGCCGGGCAACTCCGGGACAGGGGCCGGGAACCAGGCAAGGAAAGGCCGGGTGCCTCCGGGAGAGGGGCCGGGAACCGGGAAGGGAAAGGCCGGGCGGCTCCGGGACAGGGGCCGAAAACCAGGCAAGGAAAGGCCGGACGCCTCCGGGACAGGGGCCGGAAACCAGGCAAGGAAAGGCCGGACGCCTCCGGGACAGGGGCCAGGAACCAGGCAAGGAAAGGCCGGGCGGCTCCGGGACAGGGGCCGGGAACCAGGCAAGGAAAGGCCGGGCGGCTCCGGGACAGTGGCCAGGAACCGGGCAGGGAAACGCCGGGCGGCTCCAGGAGAGGGGCCAGGAACCGGGCAGGGAAAGGCCGGGCGGCTCCGGGACAGGGGCCGGGAACCGGGCAGGGAAAGGCCGGGCGCCTCCGGGACAGGGGCCGGGAACCGGGCAGGGAAAGGCCGGGCGGCTCCGGGACAGGCAAGGAAAGGCCGGGTGCCTCCGGGAGAGGGGCCGGGAACCGGGCAGGGAAAGGCCGGGCGGCTCCGGGACAGGGGCCGGGAACCGGGCAGGGAAAGGCCGGGCGACTCCGGGACAGGGGCCAGGAACCGGGCAGGGAAAGGCCGGGCGACTCCGGGACAGGGGCCAGGAACCGGGCAGGGAAAGGCCAGGCGGCTCCAGGAGAGGGGCCGGGAACCGGGCAGGGAAAGGCCGGGCGGCTCCGGGACAGGGGCCGGGAACCGGGCAGGGAAAGGCCGGGCGGCTCCGGGACAGGGGCCGGGAACCGGGCAGGGAAAGGCCGGGCGGCTCCGGGACAGGGGCCGGGAACCGGGCAGGGAAAGGCCGGGCGGCTCCGGGACAGGGGCCGGGAACCGGGCAGGGAAAGGCCGGGCGGCTCCGGGACAGGGGCCGGGAACCGGGCAGGGAAAGGCCGGGCGGCTCCGGGACAGGGCAGCCTGCGGCTGCCGGCACAAAGGTCCCCAAGAGCCCCCCACCCGGAGACGTGGCCGGGAGGGCGCTGGAGGCAGCCTGCACCCTGGGAGGGGGAACCCCCCACCCCCGCGATCTGGCCGGAGGCTCCCCCCCCGGCGGACTCACGCGAACAGGGCGAACAGCTGGGGACGAAACCCAGCGAGGGGCGAAGCCCTGGGGGCCGCCGAGCCGCTGGCACCAGGGGGGAGCGTGCGAGGAGCCCTGGGGCGGGAGCTGGGTACCCCCGTGTGCAGACGTGCCCAGGCGTGTGCCCACAGGGTGCTGACCCCCCAGTTATCACCGGCTCAGCGCCCGCCCCCCTGCCCACCCCGCCCATCACTGCCCCCAGGGCTGATACCCAAGGCTGGGCTAGCAGGGGGCTGTGGGTCGGGAGTGAGGGGCACCGGAAGAGATGGGGGGCAGGGCGGGGCCGGCAGGGGGCTGCAGGTCGGGAGTGAGGGGCACCGGCAGAGCTGCGTGGGGGCAGGGCTGGGCTAGCAGGGGCTGCGGGTCGGGAGTGAGGGGCACCGGCAGAGCTGCGTGGGGGCAGGGCTGGGCTAGCAGGGGCTGCGGGTCGGGAGTGAGGGGCACCAGCAGAGCTGGGGGGGCAGGGCTGGGCTAGCAGGGGCTGCGGGTCGGGAGTGAGGGGCACCGGCAGAGCTGCGTGGGGGCAGGGCTGGGCTAGCAGGGGCTGCGGGTCGGGAGTGAGGGGCACCAGCAGAGCTGGGGGGCAGGGCTGGGGCTAGCAGGGGCTGCGGGTCAGGAGTGAGGGGCACCGGCAGAGCTGGGGGGGGCAGGGCTGGGCTGGCCGGGGCTGCGGGTCGGGAGTGAGGGGCACCGGCAGGGCTGCGTGGGGGCAGGGCTGGGCTAGCAGGGGGCTGCGGGTCGGGAGCGAGGGGCACCGGCAGCGTGGGGGGCTGGTTCTACTTACGTCCCTGTTCCCCGGCAGACTGAGCCAGGAGCAGGAGGGTCACACCGAGGATTTGCAGGAGCAGCATCCTGTGTGGGAGCCGGCGAGAGGCTGAGCGCCACGCATCTCACCCCCGCCCTGGCGTCTGCAGCCCTCCCAGGGGTGCCCCAGGCGGTGTCCCCCCCACCCCCCGGGGTGGGCGCAGGTGGATGCCCGAGGCTGAGAAGGGGCCCGTTACCTGGTGCCAGCTCCCGGCTGAGGCCAAAGCCAGGCGGGCAGCTGGGAACCAGGCAGGGAAAGTCCGGGCGGCTCCGGGACAGGGGCCGGGAACCAGGCAAGGAAAGGCCGGGCGGCTCCGGGACAGGGGCCGGAACCAGGCAAGGAAAGGCCAGGCGGCTCCGGGACAGGGGCCGGGAACCGGGCAGGGAAAGGCCGGGCGGCTCCGGGACAGGGGCCGGGAACCAGGCAGGGAAAGGCCGGACGCCTCCGGGACAGGGGACAGGAACCAGGCAAGGAAAGGCCGGGCGGCTCCGGGACAGGGGCCGGGAACCGGCAGGGAAAGGCCGGGCGGCTCCGGGACAGGGGCCGGGAACCGGGCAGGGAAAGGCCGGCGGCTCCGGGACAGGGGCCGGGAACCGGGCAGGAAAGGCCGGGCGGCTCCGGGACAGGGCCGGGAACCGGGCAGGGAAAGGCCGGGCGGCTCCGGGACAGGGGCCGGGAACCGGGCAGGGAAAGGCCGGGCGGCTCCGGGACAGGGCAGCCTGCGGCTGCCGGCACAAAGGTCCCCAAGAGCCCCCACCCGGAGACGTGGCCGGGAGGGCGCTGGAGGCAGCCTGCACCCTGGGAGGGGAACCCCCCACCCCCGCGATCTGGCCGGAGGCTCCCCCCGGCGGACTCACGCGAACAGGGCGAACAGCTGGGGACGAAACCCAGCGAGGGCGAAGCCCTGGGGCCGCCGAGCCGCTGGCACCAGGGGGAGCGTGCGAGGAGCCCTGGGGCGGGAGCTGGGTACCCCCGTGTGCAGACGTGCCCAGGCGTGTGCCCACAGGGTGCTGACCCCCCAGTTATCACCGGCTCAGCGCCCGCCCCCCTGCCCACCCCGCCCATCACTGCCCCCAGGGCTGATACCCAAGGCTGGGCTAGCAGGGGGCTGTGGGTCGGGAGTGAGGGGCACCGGAAGAGATGGGGGGGCGGGCGGGGCCGGCAGGGGGCTGCAGGTCGGGAGTGAGGGGCACCGGCAGAGCTGCGTGGGGGCAGGGCTGGGCTAGCAGGGGCTGCGGGTCGGGAGTGAGGGGCACCGGCAGAGCTGGGGGGGGCAGGGCTGGGCTAGCAGGGGCTGCGGGTCAGGAGTGAGGGGCACCGGCAGAGCTGCGTGGGGGCAGGGCTGGGCTAGCAGGGGCTGCGGGTCGGGAGTGAGGGGCACCGGCAGAGCTGCGTGGGGGCAGGGCTGGGCTAGCAGGGGCTGCGGGTCGGGAGTGAGGGGCACCGGCAGAGCTGGGGGGCAGGGCTGGGCTAGCAGGGGCTGCGGGTCGGGAGTGAGGGGCACCGGCAGAGCTGCGTGGGGGCAGGGCTGGGCTAGCAGGGGCTGCGGGTCAGGAGTGAGGGGCACCGGCAGAGCTGGGGGGGCAGGGCTGGGCTGGCCGGGGACTGCGGGTCGGGAGTGAGGGGCACCGGCAGGGCTGGGGGGCAAGGCTGGGCTAGCAGGGGGCTGCGGGTCGGGAGCGAGGGGCACCGGCAGCGTGGGGGGCTGGTTCTACTTACGTCCCTGTTCCCCGGCAGACTGAGCCAGGAGCAGGAGGGTCACACCGAGGATTTGCAGGAGCAGCATCCTGTGTGGGAGCCGGCGAGAGGCTGAGCGCCACGCATCTCACCCCCGCCCTGGCGTCTGCAGCCCTCCCAGGGGTGCCCCAGGCGGTGTCCCCCCCAACCCCCGGGGTGGGCGCAGGTGGATGCCCGAGGCTGAGAAGGGGCCCGTTACCTGGTGCCAGCTCCCGGCTGAGGCCAAAGCCAGGCGGGCAGCTGGGAACCAGGCAGGGAAAGTCCGGGCGGCTCCGGGACAGGGGCCGGGAACCAGGCAAGGAAAGGCCGGGCGGCTCCGGGACAGGGGCCGGGAACCAGGCAAGGAAAGGCCGGGCGGCTCCGGGACAGGGGCCGGGAACCGGGCAGGGAAAGGCCGGGCGGCTCCGGGACAGGGGCCGGGAACCAGGCAGGGAAAGGCCGGACGCCTCCGGGACAGGGGACAGGAACCAGGCAAGGAAAGGCCGGGCGGCTCCGGGACAGGGGCCGGGAACCGGGCAGGGAAAGGCCGGGCGGCTCCGGGACAGGGGCCGGGAACCGGGCAGGGAAAGGCCGGGCGGCTCCGGGACAGGGGCCGGGAACCGGGCAGGGAAAGGCCGGGCGGCTCCGGGACAGGGGCCGGGAACCGGGCAGGAAAGGCCGGGCGGCTCCGGGACAGGGGCCGGGAACCGGGCAGGGAAAGGCCGGGCGGCTCCGGGACAGGGGCCGGGAACCGGGCAGGGAAAGGCCGGGCGGCTCCGGGACAGGGGCCGGGAACCGGGCAGGGAAAGGCCGGGCGGCTCCGGGAGAGGGGCCGGGAACCGGCAGGAAAGGCCGGGCGGCTCCGGGACAGGGCCGGGAACCGGGCAGGGAAAGGCCGGCGCTCCGGGACAGGGGCCGGAACCGGGCAGGGAAAGGCCGGGCGGCTCCGGGACAGGGCCGGAACCGGCAGGGAAAGGCCGGCGGCTCCGGGACAGGGGCCGGAACCGGGCAGGGAAAGGCCGGGCGGCTCCGGGACAGGGGACAGGAACCAGGCAAGGAAAGGCCGGCGGCTCCGGACAGGGGCCGGAACGAGGCAGGGAAGGCCGGGCGGCTCCGGGACAGGGGCCGGGAACCGGGCAGGGAAGGCCGGGCGGCTCCGGGACAGGGGCCGGGAACCGGCAGGAAAGGCCGGGCGGCTCCGGGACAGGGCCGGAACCGCAGGAAAGGCCGGGCGGCTCCGGGACAGGGCCGAACCGGCAAGGAAAGGCCGGGCGGCTCCGGGACAGGGGCCGGAACCGGGCAGGAAAGGCCGGCGCTCCGGGACAGGGGCCGGAACCGGGCAGGAAAGGCCGGGCGGCCCGGGACAGGGCCGGAACCGCAGGGAAGGCCGGCGGCTCCGGGACAGGGGCCGGGAACCGGGCAAGGGAAGGCCGGGCGGCTCCGGGACAGGGGCCGGGAACCGGGCAGGGAAAGGCCGGGCGGCTCCGGGACAGGGGCCGGGAACCGGGCAGGGAAAGGCCGGGCGGCTCCGGGACAGGGGCCGGGAACCGGGCAGGGAAAGGCCGGGCGGCTCCGGGACAGGGCAGCCTGCGGCTGCCGGCACAAAGGTCCCCAAGCACCCCCCACCCGGAGACGTGGCCGGGAGGGCGCTGGAGGCAGCCTGCACCCTGGGAGGGGGAACCCCCCACCCCCGCGATCTGGCCGGAGGCTCCCCCCCGGCGGACTCACGCGAACAGGGCGAACAGCTGGGGACGAAACCCAGCGAGGGGCGAAGCCCTGGGGGCCGCCGAGCCGCTGGCACCAGGGGGGAGCGTGCGAGGAGCCCTGGGGCGGGAGCTGGGTACCCCCGTGTGCAGACGTGCCCAGGCGTGTGCCCACAGGGTGCTGACCCCCCAGTTATCACCGGCTCAGCGCCCGCCCCCCTGCCCGCCCCGCCCATCACTGCCCCCAGGGCTGATACCCATCGCTTGCGCCAGACCTGGACGGATGGATATCAGTCCCTTGCGGTGTAACAGCCAACGGCCCAGCCGAGAGCCCCCCTGACTTTTCTCGGGGGAGGCTGCGAAATCAGCACTTGGGGGGGGGCGTCCGTTAGCTGTGGGCACAACCATGGCTAACGGGCTCCCTGCTGACACAGCAAATCCTGCACCTAGCACCTGTGCCCCGAACCCTGCACCCAGCGACCCGCCCCCAGGGACTGGTGCCCCCCACGTACCCCCAAACCCTGCACCCAGCGACCCACCGCCCAGGACTGGTGCCCCCCCATGTAACCCCCAAACCCTGCACCTAGCGACCCACCGCAGGGACTGATGCCCCCCCATGTAAACTCCTGCACCCCGAACCCCCCCCTGCACCACAATCCCCAGCCCTGAGCCCCCTCCCAGAGCCAGCACCCTGTACCCCCTCCTGCACCCCATGCTCCCTCCTGTACCCCAAACTCCCCTGCATCCCATACCCCCTCCTGCACCCCAAACCCCCCCCGCACCACAACCCCCAGCCCTGAGCCCCCTCCCAGAGCCAGCACCCCAAACCCTGCACCCAATCCCAGGCCGTGAGCCCCCTTCCAGAGCCAGCAACTCAAACTCCCTCCTGTACCCCAACCCCCAGCCCTGATTCCCCATCCCAGAGCCAGCACCCTGTACCCCTCCTGCACCCTGAACCTCCCCTGCACCCCAACTCTCTGCCCCAGCCCGGAGCCCCCTCCTGCACCCAAACTCCCTCCCAGAGCCCAGACTCCTCACCCCCTCCTGCACCCCAATCCCCTGCCCCTGCCCTGCCCCCCTTTCCTGCGCCCCAACACTCTGTCCCAGCCCAGAGCCCCCTCCCAGAGCCAGCACCCCAACCCTCCCCTGCACCCCAAGATAACACTGTTATCTGGCCACCTTACATTACCACCCTTCCCTTCCTGCCCCATCTGTCCCTTGAGCCACCTCTTCCCTGCTACGACGGACGGGCAGACGTTACTGTCCGGTTCTGTCCATGCCGGACGGTGGGGCCGGGGCTTTGACGGAGACCTGTCGCTTTACGGTCGAGCTTTGGGGGCCCTCCCCAATAATTAGCATACGTGGATAATAGGGGGTGTGCAGGGGTCCTGTATATGAGTAGATAGGTACAGTCTGTGTGTGCACCCGTGACACCCCCTGAGCGCCAAGCCCTGCGATCCTTTCCCAGGCTCGGGGTGTCCTCTGGCCCTTGGGTGTCACAGAGAGCGACACACCCGACCGGGGCCCTGCCGGTTACCGCCTGGCCGTGGCGAGCCGCGGGCCGAGCCTGGGACGGGCATTGCTCCCGTCTGCCCCCCCGCGCTCGGGGCGCACAAGGGAAACCAGAGCGGTGGGGCAGGGACATTACGCGCGAGGCCTGGATAGAAATGTCTTGTCACGGGTGGCGGGCTGACCCCCCCAGCGCACGGCCGGGCTCAGGGACCCCCCGGCGACACCAGCCTCGTAACTCCGTATGCGTTCACGGCACGCAGCTCTGGACAGAGAACCGACTTCCCGCCGACCACGGCCTCCCCCCGGCGCCTTCCCAGGCCTGCTCTCTGCGCGAGGTCACGAGGCTCGGAAACGAGGACCGGGGGGGTTGCAGCACGCTCCCCCAGGCGCAGAACGTCCCAATTACCTTTGCCTTAATGACGATCTTCCCCTGACGTCTGTTCTCTTTGCCTGAAAAGCCCCCGTGATTAACGAAAGACCCCTTCTGTTCGCAATCGCAGTTTGGCACGGCAGAAACAGATGGGCCCTGGCTGTGTAACTCAGACCTTGTCTCACCTTGGCAAAACCCACTGGTCTGAGTACCCTGGTGATGGTTACCCCGGCCGGAAGGGTGAAAGAGAGCAGTACCACGGTCTGCTTCGCAAGTGCAAAATGGACTTTTGTTGCAGGAAGAGAAGCACCGTAAAATCGCCGTCACGTGACACGCACGGCCTGCGACGCGGGACAGACTTGCACCTCAGAACAAATGGCCCCAGAAGCCTGGTTATAGCGACACAAGATACGGCATCCAGAGCTTAATTCCTAAAACAATGTGTTTAAAAAAACCAGACAGGGAAGCAGGAGGATTAAACATGGAAATAAGCAAGTTGTTACCTTTTCAGTTAAAACTTTTAATAACGATTGCTAAAAAATCAGATGATTTGCCTGATCTGTTGTATTAATTTAGTAACCAAAGGCATTTTCCATGACTTTATATTAACTTTATTCTCAACCCTTGCTAGATGGAAACAAGGGAAAGCCACGTTGCAGACATTCACTTTCGTCAGTGGCTAGGATGAGAAGCAGAGTTTGCATTTCTGTTGTTCGTATCTTCACGACCGTGAGGAGTAACTCCAGCTCTTGCGTTCTGGGGAGGTTAAATGAATTAATTCACTGGAATGATTTAAAGTCAAGTTTTGATCTTGTTTTCTCTTTGCTTGTTGTTCTGTTCAGGGCTTTGTATCTTTGGGAGGTTCCTGTAAAAAGCCACCTGAGCCAAGCGAGATTAACTCCATCAAGGGATCTCAAGGTCCAGGCAGCTGTGAGTTTGGCAAACTGAGAAAGGACACACGGGGAAACGTAGCCGGCAGGTATCAATAGTTGAGAAAGAAGGCTGGATTTTGAGCTCCGAGCGAGGAGTGCAGCTTTGTGGGTTCAAGCAGTTGGGAACCTGCACCCCAGGTTTCTATCCTGGCTCTGAGAGCAAAGTGGGGGGAGTTACCTGTTCTTGCCAAACCTGCATTTGTCTCCCCAGGGCCTGTCGCTGTCATCTGCATACCCAGTGGCTGGCGGGAGCGCCCTTGAACTGGCTTGGGGCAACTCCGTGTCTTCACGCATCCGTTCTCGGCGTGAACCGGCTCAGGCTCGGTTTTCACGTTGCGTCCGAGTCCCTGCTCCCGTCTCTGATTGTGCTCTGTGAACTCTTCCATTGCCCCCTTTTAGAGAGAGGTAAGGGATTGACTCCGGGTACACAAATTTGCAGAGGGACAATAAGGTTGAGGTCTGTTATTCTTCACCTCTCTATATTATTTATTTATTTCAAAACATTTTTGCTGTTAACAAGCGTGTTACCTCTGGAGACACAAATCCCCAGTCTGAGAACTGCAAAACGAAGCCTCTCGGATGGTACCTTCTAGACTGAGCACTGGGTCCCATTGGGTCGATAGAAAGATGAACCTCAATAATCCCTACAGAAGCTCCTGGATCCCCATAAGATTGGGGTCCTAACCCATGAACTGTTGGAACTCATTTACAAAACTTTTCTTAAACATGACATGAATGTATCGTCTCATTCTGTAGAATGAGAAGTTATAATCCCTATTCCGTGAGCAGATATCCAAAGCAGCGGCTTGCCCACCAAATGCCAGCTCGATTCGGGGCTGCCCGGGCGTGGAGTGTGATTTCAAACGCAAACCACCACACGACAGCCCAGGCTTTGTGGGTTTTGTAATTGTTTCGTTTCTGCAAAGTGTTCTCCTGGCTTTTGCCAAAGTTTTTGTCGCTGACTTTGGGGCGATGGCAGGGTTTGTGTTGGCTTTGTGGTGGTGTTGCTTTTTGCCAGGTTTTTTCCTTGTCATTTTTGCAACGGTTTCTCCTTCTTTTGGCAACGTTTTTGCTGCTGATTTTGCATGGTTGCAATCTTTGCCTTTGTTCTCTTTGCAGTGTTCTGGGGTTCGGCGGTTTTGCGACTTCTTCCTTGTCACTTTTGTGAGGTCTTTGCTGTGAGGTTTTTGCGATGGTTTTTCCGGGTTCTTTCTGCAATGATTTGGTAGTTTTTACCGTTGTCGTCCTGGTTGTTTTTGCAACGGCTTTGGTGTTGTTTTTGTGGGGTTTTGCAAAGGCGTTTCCTTGATGCCCTTGCTGTGGTTTTGCAGTGGTGGATTGCCTAGTTTGGTTTTGAGGTCACGGAGTTTCGTTGTGGTCCTGGGCACATCAGGCAGCCCAGCCCAGCTATGGGGATGCCAGGCTGTCCTCGCAAAAGATGGTGGCCCAACACGTGGGCAGGGTCTGGAAAGAAGAGACCACACCTTTGGGCAAAAGGGCCGTCGGGGCGACGGGTTTCCCCCAAGCCGGGCTGTGCTTCCAGATCTCACAACCGGCCCAGCGCGGCAAGTTCCCTTTTCTTTTGGCTGCGGCTGCAGTCGGGGCGGATCCACCTCGGCAAGTAGCGCTGTGCGGTGGGCACAGAGATTCGTACCCCCCCGCGGTGGGGGGGTGTGACGAAGTGGGACTGTTCTTAATGTTTCCTCTGAATAGTGTGGGGGTGCCTCAGTTTCCCCTAGGCAGTTCTGAAGTATCTAGGGGGTGGAGTAAGGGTGTATGATCATTGCAGAGCCCTAGAGGGCAGGTGTGTGCAGGGGTCTGGACACAGAGAATGGGCGACACCCTGTTTCCTGGCAACTGATGGCCTGGGCCCTTCCCCCCCTGCAAGGTGAGAGCTGAAGGGTTGGAGAACAAAGGAATCAGGTGCCCTCCTGGCCCGGAAAGGAACAAAGCCCAGAGGAGGAGGGGCTGGGGGG